TCCGACTCTATTACTGTTAATTATCTTTGAAGTTTGTTTTCTACTGTGAACTACACTGAAGCTTTCCCTGTAGACAGGCTGCTGCTTCCTCTGTGGCCAAATCTTATTGGAAAAAAATTATTGCTACTTAGGGAACCCCTCTTGAACTTTACAATAACTGGGTAAACCACTTTGCTGGTCAAATACTATCAAAAATAGATATTCTTTAATATTATGAAGGCCTAAGTGCTTATGTTGACAATAACCATGCTTTAGTAAAACAGTCTTTCTGCAGAACACTGCCAGGAGGCCAAGAGCTCAAATATCATACCTTATAACCTGGATATTTCATATATGAAAAAAGACATCTGCAAAAAATTTCTGCAACCATTTTAAAGGTTCCTATCAAATACTGTTAAATATCCCGTGTTTGGCTAAACTACAAGGAATAGACTCTTAAATCTATGTGTCACATCTAAAGCGAGCACCAAACCCTGACTGTACCTAAATACCAGCTGGGAACCTAAAAGTAAATATTTCCAGAAATTGAAGCAAAAAATTTCTTATGCCACCCCTACATCTTCCAATGTCCACCCTTCCAGGGGCTGAGGGGTGTGGCTGCCTAAGATGTGAAGGGCATTACTGTGTTTATCGCCTTAGGAGAGAGACACACACATATACAAACAGATACAGACATACTCAGATCCCACATGGCTTGTTCCTGGATGAGTGGAGCCTTCTCTGTTTTAGATGCTCCTCCCTTTCCATACCCATATCTCCTCACAACCAAAGGACCCAGGGGTTGGCGCCCTGCCCCATTCTAAAATGAAACTGCCAGGCTTTGTCCCCAAGCAAAGCAGAAACATTTTGCTTCCCATTCTCCATTCTGCTCAGGGCAGCCAGAGTATCTTCACAACCTAAATCAGATTACATCCCTCCTGGACTTAACCCCTCTATCATGTTTCCACGGCTCTTGGGATCAAATCTGAATTCCTTACGCAGGTGTCCAGGCTCTGCCTGGTCTTCTCTTGTGCTCCTTCTTTCTTCTTCCCCACCACACTCTAAACATGTTGCCCTTGTTTCTGTTTCCAGAACACACAAATCCCATTATCACCTCAGAACCTTTGCACTTTCTATTCCCTCTGCCTGGAACTCTTTTTTCCAGATATTCTCATGGTTGGCCCCTCAGCTTGGATGTCCTCTCCCCAGAAAGGCCTTCCCTGGCTTCATTCCCCATCACACCTCACATTACCTTCCTGGATCCATCTCTGTCCTAGCAATTCCCTATAGCCCTTGGTCCTCTCTGAAGTCATTTAGTTTATTTATTTGGGTTTTTACTCTCCATCTCCCACATGGACTGTAAATTCCCAGAGAGCCATGCTTTGTTTCTTGGTCATCACCTGACCCTCAAGAGCACTACCAGAGCACTGCCTGGTACACTGTAGGCTCCCACTATTTTCATGTTAAAATCCCCCCCCAAAAAACTTACATCCTGCCCCCCGCACTTATGGAACCAATCAACAAGTCAGTCCAGAATTTACTAGCTAGTACTTAAGGCCTGCCCACTTCATTCACTGAAACAGTCAGGAGTCAAATTGGGAATGACAACAAAAAAGGTAAGTAACTGAAATGCCACCTCTTTATTCACTAAATCAATCAAAAGGCAGGCAGAGAATGAGGTTGGGGGCCTAAGTAATACCTCCTTAATACATTGAACCAACCAGAAGCTATGTCTAAAGTCTTCCCCTCTCTTACGTATTAGGGCAGTCAATCATAGTGAAGGGGTGACCAACAGAGGCCACAGCTCTATGACGTAGATCACCAGGGCAGCCCCAGGGCAAAAATGAGAGAACGGCCTGCAGTATTCACTGGGTTTGTGGATTATGATCATGAAAGAGTGGGGAGTTCCAGGGGATAAGGAGGAGGCCAGGAAAGAACAATCAAGGTTAATATGGAATAGATAGAGAGATAGCAGTTGTCTGGTATAACATTGTAGGGTCACAGGAGAGTGGTTTGGAGGAAAGGGAGGGATTTGTGTGGGAAGCCAGCTAGAGGTTATAAGGGAACCATAAAAGAATATGGGAGACAAAGAGAAGGTTGTAGGGTACAAGGAGGGGCGTGTGTGGGCTAGGGGGGCTCTTGTGGGACAGGGAAGGGGTTGGGAAAGGATGAGGGGGAGTTTATGGAGTCGGTCTCAGGAAGAGGTGAAGAAATGGAAAGGCTTAAGAGGGTTGGTGGAAGGACACATACAACAGAGAAGGAGCTATAGGAGGGAGTTATGGGGGACTGAGGGGTTATGGGGAGCAGGGAGTTATGGGAGAGAGGATAGGGTTTATAGCCGAGGAATGGGTTACAGGATAGGGAGGTGTTAGGATGAACAAAAAGTGTGATATAGAATCAGAGAGAGGTGTGAAGCAGGACTAGGACAGAGTTATAGGGCAGGAACTATGGGGTACAGAAAAAGGATTACAGAGATGATAGCCTCTGTTCAATGGGTACAGAGAGTAAGTAATACAGCAATGGTTCTCAAAGCATGGCCTACAGTTGCAGCTTCACACGGGAACTTGTTAGAAATGCACAGTCTTGGGCCCTGCCCCAGACCTACAAAATCAGCAATTCTGGGCCTAGGGCCCAGCAATGTTTTAATAAGTCCTCCAGGTGACTCTGATGTGTGCTCAAGTTTGAGAATCACTGGGCTGAAGTGACCATTTGATTTAACATCCAAACTAAGCACTTTTTAGATGAAAGGGGAGCTCTCAATAAGTAGCAAGGACCAGGCTTAACTAACTGAACAGCACAGGCAAGCCAGGATGTAATGCATTATTGGAGAACAAAGGTAGGTTTAAGAAGACAGAGAAGCACACAGGATTTCTAGGTTACTTGTGGGGGGGTTATAGGGTCAGTGAGGGCATTATAGGGGGTCAGTGGGGTGTCCCAGGGTTTCTTTTCCCATACTGGTGGCCAGGGTCACTGTGGGGCAAGTATTTCCAGCACCCTCCTACTGGTGGGGTTGAATCTATGAGTCCCCATTACTCATCACCTGCTGACCCTTCTTTCTCCCTCTTCAGACCCCATCCTCTCTGCTTGAGTCTATGGCTACGATGGCTGACATCTAGAACCCAGAGTTAAAGGTCACTGTGATTCAGCTCATCTACAAGACTGCCTTCAACATTCCTGTAAAGGAACTACATGCAGCTCTCCATTTTTTCAGTCTTCTGCTTCTTCCCACCAGAACACCTGCCATCATGTTCTCCTGCTTGGTGGGTGGAATTAACCATCTTCCCCCCTCTGCAGAACACCCCAGCCCCTTCTATTCTTTACTGATTGGCTGACAGTTGGTAGGGACAGTTTTACTTTTCCTACTAGGCTTTTTCTAAAAGTCCCATTTATTGATTCTCCTTTTCTAATTGGCAGGAAATTGGAAGAAGCCTTGACTGAAGAATTCTCATCCCCCTTCCATATACACCCAATCCAAAATTTCAACTCCTGAACTGGACAACAGGATCAAGAGGCATGTATCCCTCAACCTTCACTTTTAAACCCCATTCTGAACCTTTGCATAGTCCTCCTTCCCAGAATACTTTTCTAACTCTGATTTTGTCAAGCTCCCCTGCTAGAGTTGGAGAGTGGGGACTCAGCCTACACTAAGCACAAAATGCAGCCCTTGAGTTCTCACAGTGGGTATCAAATATTTACATGAGTTTTGTCTTTGATTCCTCATCCATGCCTTCATTCAGCAAATACTGAACCATGTGCTGTGTTCCAGTCTCTGTGCTGGGCACTGAGGGCATTCAAAACACAGGACACTGCTGAACCTGCCCTCCTTCACGATGCTCCCTTTTTCTTTGCCTCCTGAGCCACCCCTGGTGCGTCTTTCCTGATTCTCCTACACCTCTGACTGTACTTACATCTACTTTAATAGTGTGGTTCCTATTGCTGTGTGCTGGCTCTGCCCTCGTCTCCTTGTTCTTCTCCCCATCCTTGACAGAGACTATCTGACCCAGTTATTTCCCTTCATCATCTTCTCACAATTTACAATTAAATATTCATTTCTCTGATTACTTAGTAATGTCAGCCTCTCTGCCAAGCAAGCACTGTGAATAAGACCATGACTATTTTGTTCACTGCAAATATCAGCGATCAACAAAAAGCTTGGCACAACATAGATGCTCAATAAACATTCAGTAAATAATTAAATGAACGATAGTTTTAATGAGAGGCCTGCTTGTAAAATGGTGTCTGATATGATTCAGTGTATCCAAAAGTCTGTGCGGTCACTCCAGCCAGACTTGCCTTGGTTAAAGACAATCTTTTTTATATAATCTCTATTATATTTGTTCCATTACCATGTACTCCCCATATACCTCCTTCCCCCAACAATCACCTCATTGTTGTCCATGTCCATGAGTCCTTTTTCCTTTTTACTCAATCCCTCTACTCTCTAAATACCCACCCCCGACTAGCTGTCATGTTTTCCATCTGAGTCAAGACATAGAATCTGAAAGACAGCAAGAAGAAGGAGACAGTTAGTTACCTACAAGGGAGTTCTCATAAGAATGTCAACCACTTTCTCAATAGAAACACTTCAGGACAGGAGACATTGACATAAAATATTCAAGGTGATTAAAAGCAAGAACCTGCAACTAAGACAACTCTATCTAGCAAGGCTATGACTTAAAGACAAAATAAGGAGCTTCCCAGGCCTCCCCCCCGCAAAAAGGGGGGGGGGCTAAAGGTATTCATTATGACCAAACCAGTATTACAAGAAATGTTAAAGGGACCTCTTTAAGAATAAGAACAAATACAGAGAGGAACATAGGTATAAGGAAAAATGGCAATAAATAAGTACCTATCAATAATAACCTTAAATGTAAATGGATTAAATGTTCCAATAAAAAGACATAAGGTAGGAGTGCTCAGGCTGCGAGTCCTGAGACAAAGGAAGTGCCAGGACACCTCTGCTGCCTCCGCCGCCTAGGCCGCCTCCCTCGCGGGGCCTCGACCACCCTAGGACTTTGAATATGTCAGGGATCGGCCTCAGCAGACTTGCCCAGGAGAGGAAAGCTTGGAGAAAAGATCACCCATTTGGTTTTGTGGCTGTCCCAACAAAAAATCCCAACGGCACAATGAACCTCATAAACTGGGTGTGCTCCATTCCAGGAAAGAAAAGCACCCCTTGGGAAGGAGGCTTGTTTAAACTATGGATGCTCTTCAAAGATGACTATCCATCCTCACCTCTGAAATGCAAATTTGAACCACTATTATGCCACCCAAACGTGTATCCTTCTGGCACTGTATGCCTGTCCATCCTCAAGGAAGACAAGGACTGGAGGCCAGCCATCACGATTAAGCAGATCTTATTAGGAATACAGAAACTTCTAAATGAACCAAAAATCCAAGATCAAGCTCAAGCAGAGGCCTATACAATTTACTGACAAAACAGAGTAGAATATGAGAAAAGGGTTCGAGCATAGGCCAAGAAGTTCTCACCCTCATAAGCAGCAACCTGCAGCAATGTCAAAAGGGATAGGTTTGGCAAGAACTTGTTTACAACATTTGCAGATCTAGCATTACTCTATACAATTACTAGTCACCTAGGGGAGGGAGGTGGGCACAATTTTCCACCACTGGTACCCAGTTCTCCACTTTCTGAATTGCCCAGTTTTTCATACAGGGTCTCTTCCTTCAGTCTTTTGTATTTTTGATTGTTATGTAAAACTTGCTTTTAATTTTAATATTGATGTCAGTATTTCAACTGCTGTAGAATTAAAAACTCTTATACTTCTATGAGTCCCTGAGGAGCTAGTTCCCTTTGCTCATGGGTGCAGCCAGGTTTCCCACTGTCAGAGCTACACAGAACCTCCAGCTGGCTGTATGAAAAAGAAATCGGCCTGCCCTCCGCTCTTGCACCTCTGTCCTTCTCTCTGCAGAATTTGGGTTGTGTTGCTATGGGCCTCAGATCCAAAGTCAGCCAGCCTCTTGTTTCTGCACCACTTCCTTTGTGTTTATATGGCATTTTGTCTCTGTTGCTGTTTAAAATAAATAAACTGTTTATATACAGGTTAAAAGAAAAGACATAGGATAGCTGAGTGAATAAGAAAATATGACTCATATATATACTATCTACAAGAGACCCATCTCAGAACAAAAGATACACATAGGCTGAAATTGAAGGGATGGAAAAAATATTCCATGCAAATGGAAACACAGAAAAAGCTGGGGTAGCAATATCTGCCAAAATAGACTTTAATTTTCCATTTAAAAGCACTTCCATTTTCAGCTTTTTGAGGAAATTCCACACTGCTTTCCACAGTGGCTGCACCAGTCTGCATTCCCACCAACAGTGTACTACGGTTCCCTTTTCTCCACAGCCTCGCCAGCACCTGTTGTTTGTGGATCTGTTTATGATGGCCATTCTGACCGGTGTGAGGTGGTACCTCATTGTGGTTCTGATGTGCATTTCTCTGATGGCTAGTGATGCTGAGCATCCTTTCAAATGTCTCTGGGCCCTCTGTATCTCCTCCTTAGAAAAGCATCTGCCCAGGTCCTTTGCCCATTTTTTGATTGGATCGTTTGTCTTCTTGGAGTGGAGTCGAGCGAGTTCTTTATGTATTTTGGAGATCAAATCTCTATCTGATGTATCATTAGCGAATATATTTTCCCATACGGTTGGTTCCCTTTTCATTTTGCTGATGTTTTCTTTCGCCATACAGAAGCTTCTTATTTTGATGAGGTTCCACTTGCTTATTCTTCCTTTTATGTCCCTTGCTTTAGGAGACATATCGGTGAAAAAATTGCTGTGTGGGGTATCTGAGAGTTTCCCGCCAATGTTCTCCCCTAGGACTTTGATGGTGTTGCCACTTATATTTAAGTCTTTTATCCATCTTGAGTTTATTTTTGTGTATGGTGTCAGCTGATGATCCAATTTAAATTTTTTGCATGTAGCCATCCAGCTCTCCCAATGCCATTTGTTGAAGAGGCTGTTATTGCTGCATTTTATGCTTCTGCCCCCTTTGTCAAATATTAGATGCCCATATAGACCTAGGCTTATTTCTGGGCTTTCCATTCTGTTCCACTGGTCTATGGATCTGTTCTTGTGCCAGTACCAGATTGTTTTGAGTATAGTGGCTTTGTAGTATAGTTTGATATCTGGTATTGTGATCCCTCCTACTTTGTGTTTCTTTCTCAAAACTGCTGCAGCTATTCAGAGTCGTTTATGGTTCCATATAAATTTTTGAAATGTCTGTTCTATTTCTGTGAAATACGTCATTGGTATCTTAATAGAGATTGCGTTGAATCTATAAATTACTTTGGGTAGTATGGACATTTTGATGATGCTAATTCTTCCAATCCATGAGCACGGTATATGCTTCCATTAATTTGTGTCTTCCTTAATTTCTTTCTTCAATGTTGTATAGTTTTCTGCCTACAGGTCTTTTACTTCCTTGGTTAAATTTATTCCTAGGTACTTTATTTTTCTTCTTGCTATATGGAATGATTTTTTTCCCCTGATTTCTTCTTCTATTTCATTGCTGGTGTACAAAAATGCCTTTGATTTCTGAATGTTGACTTTGTGTCCTGCTGTTTTGCCAAATTCACTTATTACATTGAGTAGTTTTTTGGTAGAGTCTACAGGGTTCTCTATGTACATTATCATGTCATCTGCAAACAAGGATAGCTTTACTTCCTCCTTTCCTATTTGGATGCCTATTATTTCTTTTTCTTGTCTGACCGCTGTGGCTACGACTTCCAATACAATGTTGAAAAGAAGCATTGAAAGCGTGTTCCCGATCTTAGTGGGAAAGCTTTCAGTTTTTGCCCGTTGAGTATGATGTTGGCTGTAGGTTTTTCATATATGGCCTTTATTACGTTGAGGAATGCCCCATTTATTCCCATTTTGCTGAGTGTTTTGATCATAAATGGGTGCTGTACCTTATCGAATGCTTTTTCTGCATCCATTGAGATGATCGTGTGGTTTTTTCTCTTTCATTTATGTGATATATTAGGTTTATTGACTTGCGTATATTGAACTATCCCTGCATCCCTGGGATGAATACCACTTGATTGTGGTGGATAACCTTTTTAATGTATTGCTGGAGATTTGCTAATATTTTGTTGAGGATTTTAGCATCTATGTTCATCAGTGAAATTGGCCTGTAGTTTTCTGTCTTTGTAGGGTCTTTATCTGGTTTTGGGATTAGGGTGATGCTAGCCTCATAAAAGGAGTCTGGGAGTCTTCCCTCCTCTTGGATTTTTTGGAATAGTCTGAGAAGGACAGGGGTTAGCTCTTCCTTAAATGTTTTGTAAAATTCTCCTGTGAAACCGTCCAGCCCTGGGCTTTTGTGTGCTGGGAGTTTCTTGATTACTGCTTCAATTTCCCCAGCTGTTATCGGTCTGATCAAGCTTTATGTTTCTTCCTCCTTCAGTGTTGGAAGATTATACTTTTCTAAAAATTTGTCCATTTCATCAATTTTTCAAACTTATTGGCATATAATTGTTCATAGTAGTTTCTGACAATCCTTTGTATTTCTGTGGTATCAGTTGTTATTTCTCCTCTTTCATTTCTGATATTAGTAATTTGGGTCCTCTCCCATTTTTTCTTGATGAGTCTGCTGAAAGTCTTGTCGATTTTATTTATATTTTCAAAGAATCAGCTTCTGGCTTGGTAGATCCTTTGAATTCTTCTTTTTGTCTCTATGTCATTCAGTTTTGCTCTAATCTTGACTATTTCCTTCCTTCTACTTTCTCTGGGATTTATTTGTTTTTGTTTCTCTAGTTCTTGAAGTTGTAGTGTTAGGTCTTTTATTTGAAATGTTTCTATCTTTTTTAGGTAGGCCTGTATTGCTATGAACTTCCCTCTCAGGACTGCCTTTGCTGTTTCCCATAGGTTTTGGACTGTTCTCTGTTCATTTTCATTTGTTTCCAGAAATTTTTTGATTTCTTCTCTTATCTCATTATTGACCCATTCATTGTTTAATAGTCTACTGTTCAGTCTCCATGATTTGCAAATTTTTGAAGTTTCTCTTTGAGGTTGATTTCCAGTTTCAAGCCCTTGTGGTCCGAGAAAAAGTTTGGTATTATTTCAATTTTCCTGAATTTGCTGAGGCTTGCTTTGTGTCCTATCATGTGGTCTATCTTTGAAAAACTGCCATGAGCATTTGAAAAGAATGTGTATTTTGCTTCTTTGGGATGTAAAGTTCTATATATGTCAGTTAAGTCTATTTGATTCAGTGCATCATTCAGCTCCACAATATCCTTATTGATGTTTTGTTTGGAAGATCTGTCCATTTTTGGCAGTGGGGTGTTGAAATCCCCTACTATCAGTGTGTTGCTGTCTATATCTTTTTTGAAGTCATCCAAGATTTTCCTTATAAACTTGGGGGTCCCTCTGTTGGGTGCATATAAGTTTATAATGTTTATGTCTTCTTGATAGATTCTTCCTTTAAGTATTATAAAGTGCCCCTCTGGGTCTCTTTTTATGGCCTTTGTTTTGAAATCTATTTTGTCTGATATAAGTATTGCAACTCCTGCTTTCTTCTCTTGCCCATTTGCTTGGAATATTTTTTTTCATCCCTTTACTTTCAGTCTGTGTAGGTCTTTTGCTTTGAGATGGGTCTCTTGTAAGCAGCATATGTGTGGGTCATGTTTTCTTATCCATTCAGCTATCCTGTGTCTTTTGATTGGGGCATTTAGTCCATTTACATTGAGATAGATTACTGATAGAAACCTATTCATTTTTTCTCTTTGTACCTGTGTTTTTCTCTTTCTCACTCTTTTCCTTCGTCTTCTTAAACCAGTCCCTTTAGCATATCTTGGAGTGCTGGTTTGGTAGAGATATATTCTTTTAGCCTTCTCTTGTCTGGGAAACTTCTTATTTCACCTTCTATTTTAATTGAGAGCCTTGCTGGGTAGAGCAGCCTTGGTTGTAGGCCCTTGCTTTTCATGACTTGGAATATTTGTTGCCATTCCTTTCTGGCTTGTAGTGTTTCTGTTGAGAAGTCAGCTCCCAGGCGTATTGGGCCCCCCTTGTATGTTACTTTCTCCTTCTCCCTTGCTGCCTTGAGGATTCTCTCTTTGTCTTTGATAGTTGCCATTTTAATGATGATATGTCTTGGAGTGGACTTCCTTGGGTCCCTCTTGAGTGGGGCCCTCTGTGCCTCCTGGATCCATGAGACCTTTTCTCTTCTCAGATTGGGGAAATTTTCCATCATTACTTTTTCTAAGAGGTTCTCTATCCCTTGCTCTTCTTCTTCTCCTTCCGGTATCCCTATTATGCGGATATTATTGTGTTTCAGATTGTTCTGCATTTCCCTAAATGCCTCTTCATTCTTTTTGAGTCTTTTTTCCATTTCTTGTTCTTTCTGGGGGCTTTTTTCTATCTTATCCTCCATCTCACTGATTCAGTCCTCGGCTTCATCCAGCCTGCTTTGGATTC